TCAAATGTACAAAAGCTTCACTATCTGCGAAGCTGTTTAAAGGGTGACGCGTTGAAAATAATAAGTGGCTTTAAAATATGCGATGCCAATTACGAAGAAGCGTGGGACTTATTAAAGTCGCGTTATAAAGTTTTGCGTGTGATTGTTGAGGGCCATCTCAGAGCGATGGCCGATGTTAAGAGTGCGGCTAGTGATACTGCTGACGCAATTAAAAGAGTGCTCGACGCGTTTCAGCAGCACATACGTGAACTTAAGGCTTTAGGTCGTCCAGTGCAGTTTTGGGACGATTGGCTTGTGCATGAAGTTGTCAGCAAACTAGCATTCGAGACGCGAAAGCAGTGGGAGCTATCACTCGTGAGTGATGAGCCCCCGACGTTCGAGCAATTGTCCACATTTTTAGAAGTCAGGTGTCGATCTCTGGCTATGCTTTCTTCGTCAGCTACAGCAGTACCTCCGAAAGGCAAAACGTCTTCAGTGAGCAAATCGACAAAAGTGTTTCACGCAGTGCAAACCCAAAATAGCTCGAGCTGTACATATTGTAATGGGCCGCATAAAATATACAGTTGTGAGAAGTTTCGCGATTTAAACGCAAACGATAAATCAAAATTCATTAAAGACTCGCGCGTGTGTAGGAACTGCCTCAGCTCAGGCCATTACAAAGCGAAATGCAATAGCGCGTCCGCATGCAGAGTTTGCCATCAACGCCAACACACGTTGCTACATAATACCGCTTCTTCAGCCAATGTCGCAACAAGCGCTCATTTGGCCAACAACGTAGCTGCTGCTATGCCGTCCTCTCTAACAGCAACCACCGTACCGCAACCAAACGCAACTACTTCTCCTGTTTGTGATCCTTCCGCACACACTGCTCCCGCAGGCATTTCATCGTGTTTGAATTCCAATTCAAACTCACCGCAACGAAAAGAAAGGACGGTACTATTGGCAACCGCCTTCGTCAAAGTGCGCGATTGTTCCGGTCACTGGCAACCCGCTCGCTTGTTGTTCGATTCTGGCTCGCATGCCTCCTTCGTAACCGAGGCGCTAGTGCAACGTTTGGGTCTACAACGAAAGGCATCTGCAGTTTTCATCACCGGAATTGGGTCGTCGCAAGGAGGTCGTTCAAGAGGTGAGGTACTACTTTCCCTGTCATCCTTTTGTTCAGGTCAATGTTTTAATGTCAACGCGTTGATTTTACCAAAAATCACGAGCGAATTGCCAACACATCCATTAGCAGTTTCAGTTTGGCCGCATGTACAAGGCTTGTTCCTTGCCGATCCGCAATTCACGAGGCCTGGGCGTATCGACATCTTGATAGTCCATACCTATGGCCATGGATCAGCTTCTTTGCTCTGAGTTCCGTAAAGGTCCACCTGGCACGCCGATGACTCAACGTACAGTCTTCGGTTGGACGCTGTTTGGCAGTGTTGATGGAATCGAATCTGCTCCGTCTCATCTGCAATCGATGCATTGCAACGTTCATCTGGACAGAGCGCTTACCCGATTGTGGGAGCTGGAAGAAGCACCACAAAAGACCCATCTCACTTGCGAAGAGCGTCATTGTGAAGAATTTTTCGAAGCAACGCACCGCAGAGCACCGGACGGTCGATTTATAGTTGAGCTGCCACTAAAATCTGATGTTCCATTAGAAGATTCGCGAAATAATGCTGTTTGAAACCTACTGCGAATTGAGAGAAGACTTGCACGGGACGAAGACTTACGCCAGCGCTACAATGAGTTCATGCAGGAGCTCATCGAGATGAAACATATGGAGCTTGCACCAGAATCATCAAACCAGATGTTTTACATGCCGCACCATCCTGTTGTAAAGGAGTCCAGTCTCACGACTAAGCTGAGGGTTGTGTTCAACGCATCCGCTAAATCTGCCACCGGAAACTCGTTGAATGACGCCTTATTTGTAGGTCCTCAATTGCAGCAAGATTCGTTTTCGATTCTAACGCGTTTCAGAACGCATCGCTACGCAGTAACCGCGGATATCGCAAAAATGTACCGCCAAGTCTGCGTATCGCCGAAACATGTAGACTTACAACGAATTGTCTGGCGTCGTGATCCATCTTTGCCCATGCAGGATTATCGAATGTTGCGTGTGACTTACGGTGTGGCAGCTGCGTCCCACCTTGCAGTCAAATCGCTACAACAAACCGCAAAATGTTCGTCGAACGTTTCTGAGAAAGCTGCTTCCGTCATCCTCAATGATTTTTACATGGACGACCTCCTCACTGGTACAGCTTCCAAAGCAGAGCTGCTACTTTTGCAACGAAACATATCCGGAATACTCCAGCAAGGTGGCTTTGAGCTCCGAAAGTGGGCGTCGAACTGTGCGGAGTTTAGCGAATATATTTCGAACGCGTCGAAGACTATATCGCACTATCTAGTCGAGGGTAAAGATGTTCACGCTTTGGGCTTAATGTGGAACACCGAGGACGATTTCTTGACGTTCACAGTTAACATGACAAAACCGCCCGCTGCCTTAACGAAGAGAACTTTTTTATCGGATGCCAGCACGCTTTTCGACCCGCTGGGACTGCTTGCTCCAGCGACGATAAGATCAAAGATGTGGTTTCAGGAGATCTGGCGCCATAACGTTGGTTGGGATGACCTTATTCCTGACTCCCTTGCAACAAAATGGTTGGTGCATCGATCGGAGCTGAAGCTACTTTCAAATTTAAAGATTTGTCGCTGGCTTGGTCTAGGAACGACTCGGTCGCTCACAGAGCTTCATATATTCGCTGACGCGTCTGAACGCGCGTACGCCGCTGTTATGTACGCACGCACCGTGCAAATTGACGGCAGTGCCACCGTCGCGCTGATTTCATCAAAAACCAAGGTAGCACCGCTCAAAACAACAACATTGCCGCGACTAGAGCTATGCGCTGCGCATTTAGCCGCTAAACTAGCACGAAGCGTTCTGCATAGTTTGGGTGATCTCCGCTATCCGCTGTATGCATGGACAGACTCCACCATCACGTTGGCGTGGCTACAAGCTCATCCTAGCAGATGGATTACCTTCGTCGCAAACCGCGTGGCTGACGTTCAAGAAACCCTGCCTCCAGAGTGCTGGAACCATGTTCGCTCAGAGTTGAATCCAGCAGATTGTGCCTCGCGAGGTATAACCCCGTCTGAGCTACTGCGTCAACAGCTTTGGTGGACTGGTCCTGAATTCCTGAAGGGTCCAGACCAGTTCTGGAAGCAAACATCACCAAAGCATCACACGACCGATTTGGGTGTTCGGAGCAAGGTTTCTGCTCACATCACGACTTCCAACGAGCATTGGTCGATACTCACGAGGTTTTCGGCGTATTCGAAGCTGCGCCGTATTATCGCTTACGTTTTGAGATTTTTCGTCAACGCTCGAGCTAGTACTCGACTCAACGCTGCTAAGCTATTTGGTCCTCCTAGTTGTAAAGAGATAGCCGAATCTGAGCTGCACTTGATCAGGTATACGCAAACATTATATTTTCCTAACGAAATTTCTCTTTGCAGCGCAAAAAGGCCGATTCCGCTTCGTAGCAGTCTTTTGCGTTTGCAACCATATCTGGACGAAAAAGGCGTCTTGCGCGTTGGCGGCAGACTGAAGAATGCTGAAGTAACCCCTGACGTGAAGCACCCCATCGTCTTGCCAAAGAATTCTCCGCTTGCGAAGTTGATCATCCGTGAAATACACGAGTTCACACTACACGCTGGGCCCCGCATTATGCAGACAGTCCTGCAACGCCGATATTGGGTTATTGGCGCCCGCAGCTTAATTCGCAGCATTTACCACAAATGCGTGAAATGCACCCTGTTGAATCGCAATCTCACCACACAGTCTATGGGAGACTTGCCCGCAGCTCGAACTACGTATGCCCGTTGTTTTACACGCACCGCCGTCGATTTTGCTGGGCCCTACAAATACAAATTCACCCATGGGAGAGGAGCGAAGGCTACCAAAGGCTACGTATGCTCATTCGTATGTATGTGTACTGGCGCAATGCATTTAGAATTTGTTGGAGACCTGTCAACACTAGGGTTTCTTAATGCTTTCAAGAGGTTCATAAACCGCAGAGGTTATTGCAAGTTTATGTCGTCCGACAATGGCACAAATTTTGTTGGCGCCGAGAAGGAGCTGCGGATTGCCTTTCAAAAGTGCATGGCCGATACCCGACTCCGTTCATTTTTCGCGGACTCCAAAATCGAGTGGCGTTTCAATCCCCCGTCTGCGCCTCACATGGGAGGTTACTGGGAAACTGGTATCAAGCGAATAAAGTATCACCTTAAACGCGTACTGGGTGAAACTCTTCTGTCTTATGAAGAGTTCTACACGCTGTTGACAGAAGTAGAAAAGTAGAAGCTTGCGTAAACTCCCGCCCGCTCTGCGACAACTCTACATCTGCTGATGACCTAGAAGTCTTAACTCCCGGTCATTTCCTGGTCGGTGAACCGCTCAAATCACTCCCAGAACCTGAGGGTCAAGGGTTCTGTGGCAGTCTTCGTCAGCGATGGCAAGCGATCTCTGCTATAAGACAGCATTTCAGGCGACGATGGCGAGACGAGTACCTTGTCAGTTTACAGCGTCGCTCCAAGTGGTTTCGTTCTTCACGCAATGTCGGAGAAGGCGATGTGGTCGCAATTTTCAACGAGCCCACTCCGCCGACAAAGTGGACGCTGGCAAGAGTTATAAAATGCCACCCCGGTACAGATGGACTCGTACGAGTGGTCACTTTGAAGACGCCAAATGGCGATTTGGTTAGACCAATCGTGAAACTTTGTGTTCTGCCGACGAAAGGCGACTTGTTCTGCGAAGAAGATCCGTAGACGTGAAATATGCACATAGGCATTAAGTCATGCCTTTTAGTATTTTTTGCATTGTTAGTTAATTTTCTTAATTTTCCATACTATAATTGTAATTTAAATGTTGAACTTATCACGGCTAGTTCAAGGGCGGCGGTATGTTGGGTTCACTTACGCTAATTGTAAGGTTTTGGTATGGTTGTTTACGACATAAGGGTTAATGCACAAGTCTACACAAAAGTAGCGTTTGTAATCTGATATTCCTCTTTTTTCTTTGTTCGTAACACTGAACTATAACTAGCTTATAAGATCTTATTAATCT